CTGAACTATGCGTGAGCCTATGCTTAGTCTTACTTCTACTTCGAATATTTTCATTTTTTACAGTATAGATACCCTTTATAATGTAATTGAAACACATTTCTCCCATTCTTCCTTTATCTAATTGTTTCCTGTCGCTTTTCCTCATCACTTATTCTTCATACCTTACTTCTTGTCTCAATTTCATTCTGTGCTTCATAATTCTAACTAGGTTACGCGTATCGTTCTCATGATGGCCCGTGCATTACCTGGAAGAACATGTCAACGACTGAGAGCCGAAACATGAACTCGCACTACCTACTGTTATTCCTTTACCTCTTCCTCTATCTACTTTCCATCCTTCCTTATTCATTTTCTAACATCACAATCAAATACTTTCATTTCTGACACCTTACTTCCTAAATTTGAAAATACATTTTTATAGATATCTTCCCTTACAATAAGATACGTTGACGTTCATCCTCGCCTACTTTACATACATGTATGCGTTGAACTCTGTTCTCGTCTACTTTATTACATAAAAAATAAAACCTCATCTAGCACCCCCTGGAAAACCATCTCGCACCAATTGAGAGAGCAAGCACATCTGGTTGAGAAACCTGCTTTAGAGTTCAGCACTTACCAAGAAAGAATAAAGAGTGACGAATATGACTGGCTAAAATAGCTGAATTAAGACTTTTGCACTTATTACTATTATTATTTACTGTTATTCTCATTCAAAAATCAATACTGCGTTATGCTCATACTACTCTTATTTACTGGAATCATTCAACAAATATTATTTTTGTTGATTTTATTTGATACACATTTAAGCAGTAATCAGTCCAGTGCATATGTCTATGTGATTATAAGCGAATGCGCTCTTCTAACAATCAATTGAGTTCGTATCTGAACTCAAAGTTGACTTTTAATCTATATCTCATTCGTGTATTCAACCGTTCAGTTCACTCATTTACTTACAACAATAACATCAATAAAGAGTAACAACAACTCCAGCGACTGCTATTACTGTTGTTCGTATTCATAGGAACTGTAACAGTGCCAAGATTAGTTAAATGAATTCTGTTCATAATTTTGCAATTAGCACGTCTAATTACAATTAGGTATACTGAATTATCATCATCATTAGACCATCCCTTTACTCATCAACAGCTATCTGCAATCAAATCAAATCCAGTCATTCAATAATTTCCATCAGTGCTCAGCTGAGCACTAAATGGGTTCAGTAACCAGTGAGCGTCTTTCTCCAATCATTTGCTGCTGTCATCAATGCTTGGAGGCATTGCGCAATTAACAATTCATTTTGATTCTTTTGAAGAAACAGCAGTGAGGTTGATTGATCGATTAACTGATTGCTTGATTGGTTGATTGATTGATTGAGTAGCTGAATGGGTGAATGGATAAATTCCATTCTTGTTTCATTTGAATCGATTTGATCAGAATCAAGCAAAAATCGATGCAAAAATTCACTGGTATGCGATTTATGTGCGACAGTTGCAGCACAACTAGTTAACTGTAATACAACACATTCTCCAGAACTTTCAAAATTTCCACTTTTGATCGTGGTCATCTTCAACAGAACTTCGCAACAAATCAAGCAAATACGAGTACTTCAAAGTCACCCATATAGCAAGAAGAATGAAATCAACTCCAAATCAGCAGCACATATGTTCGTTTTCTTTCCTCCTTATTCTGACTCTTCTAAATAAATATAATCAAAATCAGTGGAATTTTCGATGACGAATAACTACTAAATTACTATTTTATATTAACAAATAGAGGCACAAATTGATTGAATGATATGATTTGGTATCGGCTAGTCAACTTGTGTGATGAATAATTTTGTGACTCAAATGTGATTATCGATATTGATCGACTTATATTCGAAGGCATGGATGGCTGAAAGAATGAGTAATACCTGTTTTCACTTAGATGATTTCCGTTCTTAGTCTTCATATTTCCGCTTTTAGAGGTTAAAAAATCTTTTTATATAACGATTCAACATATGAGATGTGATATTACATAGTGTTTATTAGTGATCATTATATTGAACATTTTATGGTCTAATGAATGCGGCAATGTACCTACCACATAGCAGATATTAACAAATTAAGCGCTACAATACTCCTCACTAAATAATAAATAAAACCTTGGCAAACGATCGGTTCATACGACTTATTTTAACATATCCTTCCTATCATCAACAAAGAAACACAGGATTGAACCATTATAGGAAAAAATCATTCATGTCAATTATAAGTGCTAACCAGAGGAAAATTTTTGGCATCAATCAAACGATCACTTGAAAGAATCGAATCAAATCAAAACGAGACCAGACGGCAGTTGAAACTAACTAACCGTGTGAAAATTTGAAATCAAGACAGACGAAATGAAAATCAACATTATGAACCTAACAACAGTAGCAAGAGCAGCAATGACCAAATTATCATCATGAATAAATTTTAGTACTATGTAAAATGAAGAAGCAATGAATAAAAGAAACATTGGAAGTGAAATCTGTTCCTTTGAAATATGTTCTATGTATTACGACGTGAAAGAATGAGACCAATGAAACAATAAAAAGAACAGCTAGTCTGTTGAGGAGTCTAAAAATGAATACGAAAGAACGAAATGAGAAACGAATAAATAAATAAAATTATATACACATATGTAATGCATCACATACATATCATGTAAGAAGATATCTGAATTAATATATAATAAATATATTCTATACATACGACGACGATTAACGTCTCGACGACGATGGATAGTAGTTTGGCCAACTGATCGGATCAGTAATGCTTTGTGGTGTAAACAAAATAGAATGGAAATTGAAAAAATAAGTGAAATGTACTGAAGTCGAACAAAAGAAACAAGAACAAAAATTCGATTATATCTATTTCGCAGGGAAATAAAAAAATGATGAGCGAATGAGATGAAAAAAAGGTTAAATATTGAAATTATGACCGGAAGAAGTTGATTCGCAAAAATTATTGCCACAAAGGCAACGTTCACTTTTTTTTTCAGCGAGTCATATTTACCGCTAAAGACTAGTAGTAGAGCTTAACCAAGATGACCAATGCAGAAAATTCGATGATTACTATAATATATCAATGAAGCTATCTTATCTAATATTTTAATAACAACGCAGTAAATTACACCAATCTTTTTGCAGAATTAATTATTCAAATAGGTTATTTTCAGATATTTTGATAACTTTTTGCAGATTATAAATAGATTATTTTCAGCACAACAGAGCATTACTAATGGTGATCTTCATATAAGCAATACTAGTTAGAACAACTCGTAACAGCAGTCAATAGTCAACTCCCTCGACACTCTGACAGTATATGCAATAACTGAAGAAATTAGTTTAAGTACTACTTAATAAAACAAGAAACAATCTTCTCCTTAGAAGTAAGTAATAAAAACATAAAACAATTCAGATGCAATCCGAGCCAAGCTAGGCAACCAATAAGTGAGTTAAATTAAAACCACTTCTTCTTCAACTGACATTTTTCAAAAGATCCACAATTCATCCTTTCCATCAGCACCATCTATCTAGATGTAAAATCATCAATATAACCTAGCAAAGTCGATCGCCCTCTAAAATGTGATACATCACAGCTGAATTCAGGAACATGCACATATAAGGGACGAATGAATGAGACTATAGCTGGATATATTTCTTCGCTTATATGTTGCATTTGCTTATATTTGTTACGTACCTCAAATGTTGTACATTCATAAATAATTTGAGTTGATCAATGTTGCACGATGACGATGAGTCTATTAGATTCTATAATCTATGCGATATACTTAATCTGATTAGGACAATGATCAGTCCGACGAGGACAATTTTCAACTTAATTGCTTGAAATGAACGAGGCGCATTTGAGTTACTGGAAAATGAATCGGTAGCTGTTTTGTGCTGCTTTTACTGCTGCTACTAGCTTGCTTCAAAACAAACAACATTCAACTATCGCTGAAAGAATATATTACAAGAATGTAATTGTTTCATGATTTAATCCATAATTCACAGCAGTGCTACAATAATATCCATGTCATTAACATAAATATCGTCCAATGTGACAACGTAATATTCAATTTCTGTATATATACTATTCTGGTAGTAATAGTATACAACAACTACTATTAACAATGAGTAATTATCATCGCCAAAATTAAAATATCAAATTTTTTTTGAAAATAATACGTTTGCTGGGATTTTGCTTTGTCGATGATGACTCATGCTGGGCTAATAGCATTATTGCAAAAGATTTCGGACAATTAATCTCATTGAACAGAATCAGCGTTCACCAATCCACTACAAAGAAAATACACTGGTTGATAATAGATGCTTGCATGAACTTATCATCGCATCTATACACATTTTGCACACAAATACCATTCATGCGATTTTGTCAGCTTATTATGACGCGCAATCGTCCCGTCAAAAAGAAGAAGAAGGTCATATATTGGGTGGATAACACACGAAAGCGCGGTGGATCGAAGGGGCTGGCCCGCTCTCCAAAGGCAAGCAATTATTTCGCTTTGCATATATTAAATGCTAGATGATGGACAACTAGAATGAGATGGAAGAATTGTGGGAATGAAACTGTTCAGGTGGTTTAGTCATTGCCAAGGAGTTGGAATTAAACGCGATTTTTGAATGATTAAGGATTGGTTATGATTAATTCAAAAGTAGAGTAGCTGGATAACGTGGCTAAATGGATGGATAGTGCTGAACGTTGTTTGTCACAGAATCGCTCGTAGACAGCATCAATCCGACGTAAATGGTGCGAATAACGCAAATAATTGCAAATGAGGAATGAACGAATGATGTTTTGATAGATGAAAGTGGCGAAAAATTATGGTGATTCGATAAAAGAAAAAACAAAGAAACATTCGAAAGCAAAGAAAAACAAAGCAAAAAACATTTGAAACGTTTGAAAGAAGGTAACATTTGAAAGGTAAAAAATATCGGTAAACTAATAACATCAACTTACTTTACGTAGCGTGCGACCATGCACAAGTTCTTTCACTTGAAAAACTTTGCAGCCGAAGGCAGGTAACTTTTTCGCTGTCTGTAAAAGTTTGCAAAATTTTTGCAGGAAGAAAACAGGGAGAAAATTTTCATACCGTGCAAGTTTTTTTTGAACATATCAGAAATCATATGGAGTATGAAAGCGGAATGAACGAGAATGCATAAGTTTGATTTCTTCGTAGAAGGCTTCGGCTTAATAATCAAAAAGAAATAATAAAATCAGCCAATAATTCGTAGCATACTGCTACAGAAACATTTGAAGATAAACGCATTTGATGCATAAGTATAATATAATAGTAAAGTTGTCTTTTCACTAAGCAACTAATCTCAGTCTCAATATTAAAAGTGAGTGAGTATAAATTAGCGATTGACTGTATCCTAAAACCCCGAGTGGTAAAGGACAATCAGCAGTATAAATCGCAACACTACATATTGCTCTCTGCTAATCTCGCATAACAACAACAACAATACAACGTTGGAGTCATTCTGGTTGAACTTTATTAAATTATTCCAAAAAAAAAAATTGACTGCATCAGCAATTAAATTTGCTACAAATTCCGAGAAAAATAATTTTGTCTCCCCAAGTTTAAGGCTTCTTATATGATAGCTATAAGAGCCGCATATCCTCTAATTATTTCGTTGTTGTTATCTTCTCGTGACTTCAAAATCAACTTATAATATTTTCGAGTCAATTCTCTTATTTTTAACTGCTTAATGCTGCTGTTACTGAATCTATTCTTCTTTTTACCTTCCCGAAATCACAAAAATCGAAATCAGATGCCTACTGAAAGTGAAATTACAAAAATGCATTCATCCATCATGGAAAAAGCATCCAACAACAAATTAATTACATCTTATCACATAGCAAGCATTTGAGATAACGCATAACACTGCAAAATCGTAACAATGATCATAATACGCATTCGATTTCAGTGGTGTATTTATTAATCACATCATAAGCGAATATGCCATTTTCATACAATAATAGCAGCAGTACCATAATCGTACATGACTGCTAGAAGATTCAAAAACCGATATGATCACCATCATGTCATGTAACTAACTACAACCATACCAGTTTGATCATATACATGCAACGAGCGATCGCACCAACATAACCATAATACTCTCAAATACCGACCACTCAACATCAATCATAATAAATCCAATAGATTTGTAAAACACTTATATAAATCAACATGCATAATACATACGCACACACATAAACACGAATACGAATTGACAAATATGAATGAATACAAGTAATGACTGATTTATACAAGAATATAACACATTTTGTATAATCTCATGCTTTACACTTTCATGTTTCACGCTCATCTTTATATCGATTTATTTGTTTGTTCGATGATCTGATTTCATTTCAGTCATAGTTTAATTTGATTGCATTTTATCTTGAAAATAATTGCTGGACTGTACAACTGCTGAACCGCAAAATTCTTGTGAAATTAATCAATAATGAAATAATCAAATTCGTTACCGTATAAATACGCACCACATCATCAATTTGTGTTGGTATTATTATGGTAGAACACACGTTCAATTATTTACTTCTACAACAACTAATTCAATTCCTATTTTTGTATTTGAATTAATTGAAAAAACATTTACTGAATTTTTATTATCGAATAGTATGTACCAGCTTTGCGGTGAATCTTTAGCAGTTCACGAACAAAAACTCGTTTTATATGGACGGACAGACAATTAGTGGCTGCAAGTTGACTGATACGAGCATGCCAAACATATCGTTCTTATCGGATCGGATTAGTTCGATTATCTAATTACATCTATTAACATTTCAGTTATTTGCTCTCCCTCTCGCCTTTGCTTGCGATTTTTATGAATATGAAAATATTTGATACATTTTGTAAGCAGTATATGCATATGATATGATACAAATACAAACGAACATACAGACAGATATACCTATTTGCTTGACAAATACAAAACAGTACAACACATGGATAAATAAAGAAACAAACGAATGAATGCCAACTGAAAATGGCAGGACGGATAGAGGGAAGAACGTTGAAGAAAAACTACGTTTTCATATGTGCACATATGCTCATGTTTACTTTGGTATTCTTATTCTTTCGTTATTACTACTATCGTTTTGATTATTGTTTTTCATTATTATTATTACTGTTATTATTCTGGTTGTAATTGTTCATATTAGTACAGTTCTTACCTGTACGTAAAGTTTTTTCATGCCAACTTCGCTCTCATAAACTTGACTGTGAAAAAGTTTTCGTTTCCGTTCCTGAAATATTTAGTCATAATAACGATGATGATATGAAATTTAGCAATCGTAAATTTTAATGTGATCAAATTAGTTTTATAACATTTGTTTGTCGATTGCAATTTGTGACTGAATATTTGATTTAACATTTTTTATTTACGTATCTATAAAATGCCCTTAACCCTTCGTTAAGGGTGTTCATATATATATATACGCTTGTTCATATATATA